CAGCTCTTCTTGCTGGCGCCTGGCTTCCTCTTCCTTCTGCCTTCCCTCCTCTTCTTGCTTCTGTCGCATGACTAGTCCATTTTCGTGGCCATTCTTCTCCTCTACGTGGAGGCCATTTGTTGCTTGCATCAGTCCGCCTTTGGCAGCGACAGGAAAATCTCTCTTGAGCTGATTGATCTCCTGCATCAGTCAAAAACTCACTAGACGGTTGGCGCTGGAGGAAAAATGCCCAAATGACAAACACATCCCTCCCAGACACAACAGCTTGCCTCTTCCATTCCTTGGATTCAAAAGCGCTCTTCCAGCTCAAGTCAACATGCTTTCCACTACTTTGGACAGCTATGAATGACTGCCAGCGCACCATCAGCTCTAAGAATCTCACTGTTGCGTTCTTCCGCCAACTCCTTCTTTAGGGAAGCAATCTCTACCTGCACCAACAAACTCGACAGCCAAAACAAACCCCGGGGCTCGGCACCTCCTGTGATTGAAGGCGGCTGCGGTTTTCTATGCTGGACTTCCTGGCGTACAAATCACATTGACCTGGAATGAGCTGTCACAGCTGCAGCGCGCCTTTCTTCTTCGAGTTTGCCCTTGCAAGCTTGAAGATCGGCATGTAGCCTGAGTTTGGCATTTCATTACATTGCATAGTATCCCTGCAGTGATGGCAAAGAGAAGAGTGGTCCCCTGGCCAAAGAGTACAACATCATTCACCGGTGGTCCGTTTGCACGTGTCCGTCATGCAGCTCCATGGGCCCAGGCCGTTCCTTCTCTGTGCCTTGTCGTTCCAGTTGCTGCAAGTGAGCTGGACCAAGGTCCGGAAGCACTTCAGAACCTTAGGAAGCATCTCAAGCGGGACAAGAGCATGTCATCAGAGTGGGATAGATGTCGCAAAGGTGGGCTGCTCACCCAGCTCTGCTCTGGTCTTTGTCTCGATGGCCTCAAAGATCTTCACACTTTTCGGGTACTATATATATTTGGCGCTGGGCAAACATGGACAAAGCGCGCGCAGAATCCTCACCGTGAAATGATTATGGGTTTGATTGATATTGCATTTTTTACAAAGAAGTTTTTGGGTCGCCAGAAGTTTTTGTTCGTTCAGCTCAGTAAGGAGTCCAGTTGGGCGAGTCTTGGACGTCATGAGAAGTGCCTCAAAGTCCACCGCTAATCCTTCAGCTTCGCTTCTGGGCACCTCGTCTTCTGGGCACCGCTCTTCATTCGTTGGGTCATCATGTTGCATCAAAGTAGTGGTGGTAGTAGTAGTAGTAGTAGGAGTAGGAGTAGGAGTAGTAGTAGTAGTAGTAGGAGTAGGAGTAGTAGTAGTAGTAGTTGTTGTTGTTGTTGTTGGAGTAGGACTAGGAGTAGGAGTAGGAGTAGTAGTAGAAGTAGAAGTAGAAGTAGTAGTAGAAGTAGTAGTAGCAGTAGTAGTAGTAGTGGTAGTAGTAGTAGTACTAGTAGTAGTGGTAGTAGTAGTAGTAGGAGTAGTAGGAGTAGTAGGAGTGGGAGTGGGAGTAGGAGTAGGAGTAGGAGGAGTAGTAGTTGTTGTTGTGGTAGTAGTAGTAGTAGGAGGAGTAGGAGTAGGAGTAGTAGTAGGAGGAGTAGGAGTAGGAGTAGTTATTATTAGTAGTAGTAGTAGTAGTCGTAGTAGTAGTAGTCGTCGTCGTAGTAGTAGTAGGAGTAGTAGTAGTAGTAGGAGTAGGAGTAAGAGTAGGAGTAGTAGGAGTAGTAGGAGTAGTAGGAGTAGTAGGAGTAGTAGGAGTAGGAGTAGGAGTAGGAGTAGTAGTTATAGTTAGTAGGTAGGGCTCTGTAGGAATGTTGCCCAACAACTGCTTCGTGTTCTGTGAATGATTCGGTACGCATCCAAATCTCAGTATACACTGCTTCCTTCAACCGTCAACTGGAGACTGGGGACGCCACTAATTGAACCTGCTGCCTGAGTCGCTAAGCTCTGGAGCTCTGGGTGGACTGGACCGATTCGCTCAATGGCTTGGCCACCCACTCAAAGACCTTCCCACACTGGCGAATCGTGGCACGTACTTGCTTGCGCACTGCCTGAGCATCACGATGGCCAGAAAGAGTGCTTGAGCTGAAGCCATGATATTCCAACCTTAAGCTGAAGCAGTCTTCCCCACTACAGTTGTGACAAGGTCTATGAGTGTACTGCCACCAGACCCAACCGAGAGAGACCAGCAGGGCCTCTGCTGCCACCAAGGCATCTGGAGTGCTTGGCAAGCTGCTCTCGAGATTGACCTCAAACACACGCCAGAGATGATTGAAAGACAAGTGTCGGAAAAATGAAAGATGTTGTAAAAGAAAAACAAGGATTCGAGACGTTTGAGATCTCTGGCTGTCAGATCGTCAAATAGCTAGCTCCGGCTCCGGCACTACTCCACAACCGAGGTCCCAGCATACGTTACTCCTAAAACACCTCTGCAAATGGAGATGGCCTGCAAAATTCAGATGGAACCCATTGGACAGCAGTTCCATGCGTCTCCAGGTCGCAGTACAACTTGTTTCGAAGCTTTGCAGGCGCACCACAAAGAGCAAAGAGCCAGACCTACCTCTGTTGTCTGCGACGTTGTCATTGACAAGAGCTGCTGCCTGAGGCTGAGCAGTAGAAGCAAGCAGCACGGTTGGCCGAAGCAAGCAGAACCGAACTAACAAGCACCCACCGAACCACGGACGCTCCCTTCCGCCTCAAAGATGCCACCAAGGAGACCTGTTCAGCCAGTCGAGCCTGGCAGAAAAGGTTTTATATATGCGTTTATTCGTTTTTTTTGTTTTTTTTTGGGGGGGGGGGGGGGGGGTAGGCCGCTAAAGGTAGTAGCTGGAGGTAGCTAGAACCTAAATGGCTACTACTTAGGACGCAGGATAGCTCACGCTTCTTGAAGGAAGCCCCCCCCCCGGTGCCCTAAAGGCGGCGGGGCAGAGCTTCCTTGAAGAAGCGCTCGCATATTCATTTGGTTCCTAGGTTTTTATATAGGAAAACTTAACACATCAAGAGAAGGTGGTCCAGTTTCTTGAAGAACATCCTGGTCTTTCTCTTTCGGATTTGGTTTTCAGGAGTTCTACACGAGCCTCTGTCGCCAACAGCGATGCTGTGCTACTGGAAGCTGCTGCAGCACTGCTTTCAGCCTTATTATTTGTCAAGTATGCGCCTTTCATTGAATTCTGTAAAAGCATGGCTGGCATTAATTTGGCATATTAGCAGTCGCAGATGTTTTGAAAATGTTAGGGCTGCCACTCTTTGCTGATGGTCTACGGCAATAGCCAACTGCTCCTGGTGAGGGAATGAAACTGAAACATCTCCTCCAATCCAAAATGCTGTGTGTCAACTATAATATATATATATATAGCAAAAATAAACGTTCGCTCATCTGTTGGATTGTTGTTGGACCGCTTGAATACTGTTCAAGCAAAAGATTATCCCGGGTCTGTCTTCACTGCGATGCACTTGGCTTTTGCAACACTCCTGCAGAGAACGCTGCTCCAATCGAAGTTGCTGGGCCTGACGTCAATGCTGGTCAACAACACGATACTGGTTTCGGAACCTTGGTTCTCCTTGATCCCTTAACTTCTGAGTCACACCGGTCACCCTCCATGTTTGTTGAAGGACTTGGTTTGTGGCTGAAGCTGAAACTGCTACTGAAGCTCTTGGGAATCAAACGCTCTGGTCTCTTCCAACGGCCATGATGAAAACAAGAGTGTTGCTTCTCTG